GCTGCTGCTTGGGTCGTTAGCATCCCATAGTGGAGTGCCTGGTTCAAGTGGCTACTCCACTTTCCATTCAGCTTCACACTGGCATGGAACCTGGGAAGCAGCAGGTGATGGTTCCAGTAGTTGAGTCCCTGTGACCCATGTGGGAGACCCAGGTGGAGTTCCAGGCTCCTGGCTTCAGCCTGGGCCAAGTCTAGCTGTTGTGGGCATTTGGGGAGTGAACCAGCTGCGGGAAGATCTCTCTGTCACTCTGCCTTTCAAATAAATAAAAATCAATAAACTTAAAAAAGAAAGTGCATTCCTCCCTCCACCCCCCAATGCTTTCATAACCCTGTAGGCTTATCTCTATGGGAGTACTAACCACATGCTACTAATTATTAATTTATATGTCTGTCTTCCCCACTGCACTGTGAGTGGTTTGCAGGAACGCCAGGACCACAGAGATGCCATTTGGTAGGCATTGGATCTATCTCACATTTTGAAGATGTTGTCTCCCAGGGCTGGGACAAGAACTTAATGAAGTGTCTTTGAGTGTGTTCATCATATAGTCAGTCAACGTTTATTGAGACTTTGCCATGGTCATTTACCAATGTGGTGCAGGTGAATATTCTGCATAACTGAAGTTTCCCATCAATACCATATTTAGCCTCTGGGACAGTTTCCTCATCTATAATAGCCTGCTTTGTTCATGTCTAGTGGACTCTCGCGATAAACACTTAATCCCAGACCTCTCAATAGTGTTCTCAGAAGAGTGCTTTGCACACAGTGCTTAGGAGATATTTGTAAACAAGCATGCTCCTTCTTGATATATTGGGCTGTTTCCTCATCTTGTCTTAAATGTTGCAACAGAAACAGTGCTAAGCACTTTACATGGGTTATCTCTTCAATCTTCACGATTCTATGAGCTAGATAGTAATATCGTTCCCATTTTATAGGGGTTCAGCAATTTACATAAGGTCACACAGGTACTAATTGGAACACTTAGACCCTGGCCTTTGGAGTGAAGTGTGACCCAAAGTCACTAGGGTATGCCTGGAACATGTTAGACTTTTGGTAATACTCAACTGAAGGAATACTGCTCCCAAGGGAAGGGAAAGACGGGAACTCTTACTGTCCTCCCCACTTAACTCTCGAGGTCTCTTGCACCTTATTTCCTTTCTCACTGTGTCTCATTTACTTCTTTTCTTTTCTTTTTTAAGATTTATTTATTTGAAAGGCAGAGTTACAGAGAAGCACAGGCAAAGAGAAAGTCTTCTACCCACTGGTTCACTCCCTAGATGGCCGCAATAGCCAGAGCTGCGCCAATCCAAAGCCAGGAGCCAGAAGCCAGGAGCTTCCCACATGGGTGCAGGGTCCACTGCTTTCCCAGGCCATTGCAGAGAGCTGAATCTGAAGTGGAGCAGCCAGAACTCAAACCAGTGCCCTTATGGGATGCCGGTACTGCAGGCGGCGGCTTTACCTGTTACGCCACAGCTCCAGCCCCCCATTTACTTCTAACATTTACTCAACAAACATTCTGGAGGGGTCACTGAGTGCCAGGCAGTGGGCCAGAAACTAGTGATACATAGGTGACTGAAACATGGCCTCTGCTGCTAGGAGCTTATAGTTAGGGGTTGCAGATAATTATCTTACAGCAAGATTGTGAGAGCAAGAGGAGGGAGTGGCCTAACTGCCTGGGAGACTGGACTCCACCTTATGCTGAGCCTGGGTGTGAAGGGGATACTATGGAAGGTGCTGGCTCCTTGGGGATGGGTAAAGCATGAGAGTGGCCCAGGACCAGGCAGGGACCTGGTCTGGTAGGGCCTTAGTGTACAGCGCTAAGAGGTTTGAGTTTTTCCAATGGTTGGATTTATCTGGCATTTCCTTTCAAGGGCAGGTGCTAAGGGACTGGGTCATGCTGTACTTTGGCTCTGACCTCTTATCTAAGCTCTAGGACTAAACTCACATAAAGCTATAGCCCACCATTTGTGAACGTATTTTCCCCAATTTTTCATGTCTTCTGAGTTCCCTAATTCTGCCCGTATTCACACCATCCAGTCCCACAAGCCGTCACTGGATCACTGCATACAAAGCACTGCTCCAGGAGCTGCTGGAGATACAAATGTCAGTCTCACTGAAACCGCGTCCTTGCTCCGGTAGTTCCTTCTAGTAGGAGAGCCTGTAGTGGTGAGGGCCAGGCAGGGGACAGACAAGTAGACAACCCGGCGGCGGATAGTCCAGCCCACTTGAGGGCACCGCCACACGTCTGCCTCCTCATGCTGGCTGCCAGAGTGAAGTGATCCAGCGTAGACTGTGAATCCCGTGCGTGCTGGACAGGTGTCGGCAGAACTTGACACACAGCCTTGCACATCCTAGGTGGTCAATAAGTGTATGATGGATGAATGATGCAAGTCTCACTACAGCCTCCCCAGAAATCTTCCCTGCAATAAAAGTCAGACTACCCACTTGGCCCTCAGGACTAGCCACCACCAGCTACAGTTCCGTCTTCTCCTTTCACCGCCTGGCAGGTCAGTGATTCACTGTTCTTGCCCGGGGCCACTTGTATTCTCCCACCTCCGTTTCTGGAAATCCTCTTGCATCTCCTAATGCTAGGGCTCGTCCAAGTTTATGGGCTCGTAGAGAAGGCTTCCATGGCCAGCTGCTCCCTCCCGCTAGAACCTCCCAGCCACCCCGGGTCAGCCCCCAGCATGCAGAGCCTGCCTCGGGTCTCTCCTGGGCTCACCCCGCTGGAGGGGGAACCCTTAGCCGGGGGCCGAGCCCTAGAACTTTCTCCAGAGTCCTAAACTGGGCCTGTTGTAAACAGGCGAGTGGCCGAGAATGGGGCCATCAGAGGCTGGACGTCAGGAGGAAGCCGTGTGCTACCGTGGCGGGCCAGGCCGCAGCCACCGGCCGAGGCGGGCTGCGAGATGGGAGGGAAGGGGTGGGGAGCCGGGGCTGGGTGTGCTTCCTGCCCCGGGATCTGGCGGCCCGCCTCTGCCTCCGCCCCTCCGGCCGAGCCGGCGCTGGACGGCCCCTCCTGCCTCGGCCGGTCGCCCAATCAGCAAGCGCCCCCCGCCCGGCCCGCCCCTCCCCCTCTGGTGACAGAAAGTCGGCCCAGCAGATGAGGAAGTGGCAGGCAGGCTGGCCCTGGGGACTCCTCTCTGGTCCTGCTCCCTCCGAGCCCTCCATCGCTGCCCGCCTGGCCCCTACTGGTGAGTCTGGACCTGCTAGGGCTGTCCATGTGCCGGCGCCCCCTGCCTGGCTAACCCGGCCCAGCCCTGCCCTTCTCTGCTCTGCCCTGCCCTGCCCTGCCCAGGCTGTGGGCGAGGCTGTTCCTGGGGCGAGTGGGTGGGAGGTCCCAGCTCCCTGGGGCCGGGCCTCGCCAGCACCCTCCTTCCCCCGGCACCCCCGTCTGTGGCCCCCACTTGCTTACACCTAGGCCTTCCTCCACCACCTCCTGAGCTTGCTCTCCTCCCTTCCTCCCCTTTCTCCTCCCTCTCCTTTGCTGGTCTTGCTTTCCCTTCCATCCATCTTAAAGGAAGGAAGGAGCAGCCTGAGTGCCCCCAAGGGGACACACCCAGATTTCCAAGTGTGGGGACAGGTCCTTCCAGGAAGCCTTGAGTCGCCCTGGATCTTCAGGGTACCTGTGTGTGTGTGGGTGGGGAGGGCCAGGGGAGTAGTGCACCTGGCTGGGGCCGGGGTGGGGGGTGGCTGGGAGAGAGAACCAGCTGGGAAACTCACATGTGGAACTGTGTGTTAGAGCACATGCCCAAGCCGGGGGCCTGGCCGCTGCCTAGGCTGACTGAGGCAGAGTGAGGATTGTGGTATGGGTGACCCAGGGCAGGTGTGTGTGGTGTGGGTGATCGGGTGTTCCCTCACCTTCCAGTGGCTCACACGTGTGAGTAGACCTATGTGTGCAACTTGCAGCGGGCATGGACTTGCACTGTAAGCATGTGCCATTTGCACATGTTAAAGTGGGGTCTCGAAGGGCATTGTGGGAGCACCAGTGTGAGTGTGTCCAGGGCAGATGTGAGGCATATCATTGTCCTTGGAGGCCAGTCCCTGCGGGGTGTCAGGGGCAGTGCCCTCTCTGGCTGCGCTCCTCTGGGCTCTTCACTGCTTGCCGCCCGCCGGCCGCCAGCAGGAGGTGTGTGAGCTCTGTGTGTTTGTGTGCCAGCCCTCAGTGCAGTGCGGTGTTTGTTATGGAGGTGGTGGGGGGTGGAGGGCCGGGTGGCCGGCAGGTGTGTGTGAGTGTGAGGGTGTGCACGTGGATTGCAAGGCTAGGGGCACGGCTGTGGGGAGTCTGAGTCTACGTGGGCCAGCTGGGTGGGATGGGGGAGCCCCGGGAGGTGCCTGTGTGCAGGGGGCACGCCACACCTCTGGTGGGAGGTGTCAGAGGTGAATTTCTTCGTTCAGCACTTGCACAGATTGGTGTCTGGACTCACGGAAACGGGAGCACCTGCTGCCGCCGTTTTCTGAAAGTCTCAAGTCCCAGGCTCTCCTGGGCCTGGGCAGAGGCTTTTGTGTCCCTGCGCCCTCCCCCGACATTCCTTCAGGCCCTGAGGGGGAGGGGGCCTAGCCTATTAGGACCCCTCCCTGAGGGAGGGGAAGATTCCTGAGACCTCCCCCACTTCCCCACCTCCTCACATGCCACTGGCTTCCCTGCCCCTCCCTGGAGGGAAGGGTGCTTGTACCCATTCTGAAGTAGGGCAAACTAAGAATTTACGGCTAGTTCAGGAGAGGATGCTGGGAGTGGATTTTCAGCAATTCCTTGGGCCAAAGCTGGCGTTGGGGCTGGGGCGGGATGGGGGGGTGGGGGAGGAGGGATTTTCAAAGAACCTAGCACCTTCATTCTTGAAGCTCTGGTCTATGGTGGGTGGGTGGTGAGTCTGGGGCTTTATTTGGCTTTCCCAATCCTGGTGGGTCCTGCTCCCCAGGCACTGACCTGTGGCCTGGACCCACCCTCCACCCCATGCCCAGTACAGCGGGGGCGGGCAGAGGGCGGGGCTGCTGCCAGATCTAGTCAGACAGGTGGAGCGGCCGGGGCAGGAGTCTCAAAGAGGAGAGCTCTAGGAGAGAAAGGGCAGCGACCAACCGAGAGAGCGCCAGAGAGCGCCGGAGAGGAGAGGCTGGAGGTGAGCGCTCGCTCGCTCGCTCGCTCGGGAAGGCAGAGGACAGAGCCTGGGGAGGTGAGCAGCCCTGCAGGGAAGAGGAGGAATCCCAGGTGCAGAAGGTTCCGGAAGGGACCAGGGAGGGGAGTGTCCCAGCAGGGGAGAGGAGGAACCCTCGGGGGACGGGAGTCCCAGGCGGGGACTGAAGGGGAGAGGGTGAAAGGGAGAATCCCTGTAGAAAAAAAACTGCCGGGCGCTGGGGTGGTGAGTGACTCCAGCAAGGAAGGGAGCGGTTAGTTTGGAGATGAGCGCCCGGTTGGCTGGTGAGGTGAGATTCCGGGAAGAGAGGGTTCTCTTGTGGAGGAAGGGGGAGGAGAGGGGAGGCAGCAACCAAATCTCTGGAGGGGAGCGGAGAGTGAGGGGAGTGAGGGGAGTGAGGGGCGGGAAAGAAGGGAGGAGGAGCCCATCCCAGGCAGGCAGGAGGTATTCAGATCCACTACCCCCGCTGAACTGCTGCCTGCTCTTCCCAGGCCCCAGCGACACCTTCCTTTCTCCCTCTGTCCTGTCTGCTTCTGGGTCTGGTCTTCGTGGGTCAGGTGTGGGATAGGGGTGCGCGGTGGGCCTTGTCTGACGTCCACGCTCCGTACCTCCGCAGAGTTCTTCGCCAGGATGGAGGCTGTTGTGAACTTGTACCATGAGATGATGAAGCATGCAGGTAAAATGCTGTCCAGTAGCCCCGGAGGGAGGCTGTCTCCTGGTGGAGCGCCCCTCTCAACACGTCGACCCTTTGTGTCCCCGCCTCATGTCTGTAAGCCTGGTAAGCCTGGGAACCTGGTGACTCTTCCTGATGCTTTGACCCTTATTCACAGATCCCCGGATGCAGGGCTACCCTCTGATGGGGTCCCCCCTGCTGATGACTTCCATTCTCCTGACCTATGTGTACTTTGTCCTCTCACTGGGGCCTCGCATCATGGCCAATCGGAAGCCCTTCCAGCTACGTGGCTTCATGATTGTCTACAACTTCTCCCTGGTGGCACTCTCTCTATACATCGTCTATGAGGTGGGCCTGGGGCGTCAGGGTGTTGATTCCCAAGTGGGCTACGCCAGAGGGGCTCACAGCCATTCCTCAGGGGGAGAGGGGAGGGCATGCTAGCAGGGGGAAAGTGGTGGTCTAATCCACACCCTTTCCTAGTTCCTGATGTCTGGCTGGCTGAGCACTTATACCTGGCGTTGTGACCCCGTGGACTACTCCAACAGCCCTGAGGCTCTCAGGGTGAGTAGGGATTGGGGCTAGATCGCAAGCAACCAGGGGGAGAGGCGCAGCTTGGGTGTGATCTGTGGCTCAGTTTAGGGAGGCTCTTGGAGCAGCGTGTGGGGTCCTAAGGCTGCCCTGACTTCTTGCAGATGGTTCGAGTGGCCTGGCTCTTCCTCTTCTCTAAGTTCATTGAGCTGATAGACACGGTGAGTAGTTGGATGTGAGGGCTCGAGGGGAGGGAGTGGGGAGAGGCCCTAGCTCTGAACCACGGCCCCCCTCTTCTCTCAGGTGATCTTTATCCTCCGGAAGAAAGACGGGCAGGTGACCTTCCTCCATGTCTTCCATCACTCAGTGCTCCCCTGGAGCTGGTGGTGGGGGGTAAAGGTGGCCCCAGGTGAGTGGGGAAGGCCACTGGGGGAAGAGCGGTGGGCGAGGGGAGCTGAGGCTCCATCCTCATGAGCCTTCTCGACGTCCACTCACAGGAGGGATGGGCTCTTTCCACGCCATGATCAACTCCTCCGTGCATGTGGTCATGTACCTGTACTATGGGTTGTCTGCCCTCGGCCCTGTGGCGCAGCCCTACCTCTGGTGGAAAAAGCATATGACGGCCATTCAGCTGGTGAGGAGCCTGGGCCTGGCCCACAACACCCCCACCCCTCCTCCCCGACTTCCCAGCCTGTCTCACCTTTGATCCCATCCCTCCCCACTCAGTGTTTGTCTCCCCTCCAGTTCCCTCACTCCCCTCTGACCCTTACTTTATCCTAGATCCAGTTTGTCCTGGTCTCGCTGCACATCTCCCAGTACTACTTCATGCCCAGCTGCAACTACCAGTACCCAGTCATCATCCACCTCATCTGGATGTATGGCACCATCTTCTTTGTGCTCTTCTCCAATTTTTGGTATCAGTCTTACACCAAGGGCAAGCGGCTGCCCCGTGCACTACAGCAAAATGGAGCTCCAGGTATCGCCAAGGTCAAGGCCAACTGAGAAACAAGGCCTAGATAGGCGCCCACCAAAGTGCCTCAGGACTGCACCTTGGGCAGCATCGTCAGTGTCCTCCCCACCTACACCTGTGACCAGGGCTTCAGGGGTCAGGACTGAGCAGGGGACTGACTCTCCCCTCCCCACGGCTGGTCTACAGGGACCACTGCTTCCGTTCCTCACCCACTTCTCCAGGCCAGCTCCAGGAATGTGGCCTCATTGCCCTCTGCCACTCCAGAGCTGGGGGCTGAAAGGGCTGGACACTTACCTCCCCCTCCCTGCCTTAAACTTGGGAGAGGAGCACTCAGGGCTGGCCCTCACCAGGGTCTTGTGGCCTTTTTCCTCACACTGAAGAGGTCAGCAATAATCTGTCACTGTGGACCCAGGCTCCCTCGTCCACTCCACACTGAAGCAGGAGCTTCTGGGCCAAAGGTCAGGGTGAATGGGGGCCTGGGAATACAGCCTGTGGAGGCTGCTCACTCACTGCGTCATAATTAAAAGTGACAGAGGAAACCACAGGCTGTGTGTGTGCCATGTGTGATGGAGGTGGGGTACACAGCCTGCTTACCATGTCCATAAGCAGGAGCGATGGTCAAGGCTCCCTCAGGACAGTTCCAGCTCTGACTGACCATAGTACAGGGAGCCCCTGGGACAGAGATCACGCAAGGTGAGGAAAGGGAAACATGACTTTATTAGAAAAATAAAAAACTGAGGGGATGGGTTGGGCCTCAACGGATGCCTTGGTGGATGAGGCTGCTTTTGGATGCGCTGGCTTTTTCCCGCTCCCGCCGCCGTGCAGGGTCCAGCTCGAAGCAGCGCCACAGCCTTAGGGTCTCATCTGCTGCTGCCGATGCCACTGTGGCCCCGTCCGGGCTCATGGTCAGACTCAGGACCCGGGCTGTGTGACCTGGGGCAGTTGAGGAAAATGTACATGCATATGTCACACCAAAAGCCTTCCAATTTTGATGGCTACCTTAGCTCTTTATAATAGCTTTATTGAGACAGAATTCCTAAAGTTATCCTTTAAAAGTCTACAACTTAGTGGTTTTTGGTCTACTCAAAGATATGCAACCATCACAGCAACCTAATTTCAAAATAATGCCATCCTCCCCACTCCCCTTCTCTTCCAAACCCTGGCAACCATTAACCTGTTGTCTCTGAATTGGCCTCTGGTCACTTTGTATAAAAGGAGTCCTACAGTATGTGGCCTTCTATGTCTGGCTTCTTGCATTTGGCCACCTACCTTTGAGCTCAGCCACCTTGGCCATGGTTGGGTACTTCCAGATGACCAGCTGGTTCTGTGCAAAGCCATGGCCTGAGATGAGCTCCTTGTAGTGGGGAGACCAGAGGATGGAGCACACCTGTGGAGAGGAAGGCATGTGCAGACATTCAGCCAAGGCTATCCAATCAAAACACAGGCCATTAGAGTGTCAGGCTCCCTGCCAGGTGCCACAGACTCAGGCTTGGATGATCACAGTCCTCACAGAAGTGCTTGGAGAGAGAGGAGTTATTCATTTTACAGATGAGGAATCAATCAGAAGGTAGTTCAACAAGTTGCCTAAGGGCTCCAGCACGTTAAGTTAGCAGGGAACAGAGCCAGAGTTTGAGTATGGCCCGTATGGTTCTAGAGCCCATGTGTTCTAGAGGGAAGGCTGTGCTCCGGGGAGCTGGGGGTGGGAAAGGAGAGGAGACGGGAGTGGGCACGGGGAGGCCCATGAGCAAGAGCCCCGATGCGGCTTATGTGCTGTAGGTGGTGGGGAGCCATTACAGGTTGGAGGAGAGTGACAGCACTGAGACCACAGTGCAGAGGCTACACTGGAGAATGCTTGGCCACCAGGGAGGAAGCCATTGTGCAGGCCACAACTGGAAGGAGGTGGCGGCTGAGGGGAGGGGCTGGGGGGACACAAGGAATCCTGGTGGTGAGGACTATGAAAGATACCAGGAAGTGCTGCGGATTTCTGAGCACGTTCTTCCATTCTGAAGCAATGAAAGAGAAGGAAAAGGAGCGCATTTCAGGGAGGCGAGGGGGAGTGGAACACAATGAGGTGAAGGGACCTCCAGGACACAGGGTTGGAGGTAAGCCATGGGCTTGTTGGAAATGGAGCTCATGAGAGCTGAGTCGGAAGTTCGGAATCATGAAGCAGAGTTGGCAGAGCCACTGGAGTACACACATTGGCCCAGGAGGACTACACAGAGCTAGATCACACCCAGGAGAGGCTACCTGGGAATGGGCGTCCACAGCACTCAGACAGGCCCCGGAGCACACGTTCCAGATGCGGATGTGTCGATCACTGGTGCCCCCTCCTGTCGCCAGGATATTGGACTGCCAGGGACACCAAGCTACAGCCTAGGTAGGATAAAGGTGGGGTCAGGCACTAGGAGCTATAGGGCTCCAGAGGAACCCCGTCCAATCTCATCATCCCATCTCCCCACCATCACAGGCCCCAGGTCACAAGTGAGGGTCTGCAGAGGCATCAACCCATCCCAGCTCTCACCTTGACAGCCCCTTGATGCTGGGTGAATGTTTGCAGGGGAACCCAGCCGCCCTCTCCAGGAGCACTAGGCCACACATTGACCAAGTTATCGTTGCCTCCACTAGCCAAGTGCCGTCCGTCTGGGGCCCAGCGCAGCCCACACACTTCCTGGCTGTGGCCACTCAGGGTGGCCACGTGGTGTTCTGCTACCCGAACATCATGGTGGTGGATATGGCCGGAGCGTGAACCACTGTGGGAGGGAAGAAGGGAATCGGGTTCCATGGCATATCAAAACCACCAAGGCCAGAGCTGCTTCTGTTCAGGGATGTACAGGGGGTGTTCACACATCAAGGAAAATGCCCAGCACAAAAAAGCTAACGTGGATTTCAAATGGGAAAGTGTACCCAATAAACTTAACCTTAAATTCTACGCTTTTACAAACTTTTTAAAATACCCTCATAAATGCAGGGGCACGGTGGGTGGAAATCACGTTTATTTTTCCAGGTTGGCAAAAACCACTGACCTGGAGAGGATATAGCTGTTCCAGCTCAGGGAGCCCACTCGGGCAGAGTGACTGGTCATGTTTCGAAGCCGTTTTTGCTGCTGCACATCCCAGAGCTAGAGAAGAAAGACCATGAGGATCAGAGACTGGGACTCAGTAGGCCCCAGGGCCTGGTGACACAGGGCAGGGACAAGTCTCACCTGCACCTCAGCACTGCTGGTGCCCACAGCCAGGTAGTTGCCCTCTTTGATCCAGGCCACAGAGGATACGTAGTCCCCAGGCTGCTCCATTTGCAACAGCTGCAGGATGTCACCAGAGCTTGCACTCCACAGGTACACGCTGTTGTCCAGTGCTACTGCCAGAACATTCCCAGAGCTCCAGTCCATGAGGTTCAGGTCTGCCAGAGGCGGAGAGGGACGGCCATGAGCCTTCCTTGTTTGCCTGGCTCCCAGCCCTTTCTCCATCCACAGGGCAAGGCTGCACTTACAGTAGTCATTTCGGATTTCAGGGGCATCCAGGATCCGGTCTGGTAGGGAGGGAATGTAGCGACAGGTCTTCCGGCTGGAGCCGGGCGTGGCTTTCTGGCTGTACAGTACTTTCAGTCTGTTCTGGTAACCTGTGGCAACCAAGTAGGTCTAGATGCTGGGCAAACTGGCACTGCCTTGCCCTTAGCCTTGGGTGGGAAGAGCAGACAGACATGGCCTCCCTCCCCTCCCCTCCCCGCCGCGCCCCCCGCCCTGGGGATAGACTGACAGCTCCCTCCAAGAACCAGGAACATCAGGTCTCACCCTCTGGGGCATTCTGTGGTTTCCCACTGAGCCGAAGGATCTTGGCCTCCTCCACATCAAAACCGTTCAGGTTCAAAGCCCATGCTTTCTGATGCTCCTGGCATACAAGGGCGGGGTGAGGCAGGGGGTATCATCCCAAGGACACAGTCGGGTCCCGCCCTGCGCCCCTGGGGGGGGGGGCACATACCTTCTTGGTGGGCGACTGGCTGTTTTCTGGCTGGTTCTCCTTGCTCAGGAGGAAGCTCGCCACCTCCATCTGGGAAGCGCTGCGTTGGGGAATATAGCGGTCACCGCCGGGTTTGCTAGGGGTGGTCTGTCCCTTGGAATTAGACTTGCCTGGGGCAAGGAGAGAGAAGCCAGACCGTCTGCCCAGGCTCCCGGCAGAGGAAGGGTGCCGGCTGCTCTCAGCCAGTCTCGCTGCCTCCCGGCGCCCCGCCTCGCCCCACTGACCAGGAGTGCGGCCCGGGGTTCTGCCGGCGCTGTGGGATCGGTTGGCTGCCCGCATGGGGGACGGGGCCGGCCCCGCGGTTTCCTTGGCCTTGCGCTGCCAGCGCGCAGGGGGTGCATTGGGGATGGGTGCGTCCAGCTGCAGCAGCGAGTGCAGGTCACTCTCGAACACGAACTGCGCCATGGCAGCGCCGCGAGCGGGAGGGGTCCTGGGAGCTGATGCTCGCCGAGCCTGTGGGAAGAGAGGAGACCGTGTTCCGGGAACCATGCGGGGCTCCTTCTCCACCGGCCGGCCATCGGCGCCACCCACCACGGCAGCTCCTCCGTGCCCGGACTCCCCTGGCCGCGACAGCCCCCTCCCCGTTCGGCTCGACCCAGCGCCCTCTCACCGTGCGTACGGAACAGATTCCAATCCCGGACCGGCTTCGGCACGCCAGGCCTACGCTACTTAAACTCTCCGCTCTGAGCATTCATTGGCTCCTTCAAAACCCAACCGTCGCAACCGTCCCTCTCGCCCATTGGCCGCTACGGCCCAGGGGGCGGGTCTTCCGGGGTACGCCGCCGGTCTCACGAGAGCGAAAGCCGCTAAGGAGTGTGATTTGATGACAGGTTTAAAGCCCAGCCCAGGGACTTGGTGTCCGAGAGAGGGGCGGGGCGCGGCGCGGCTGGGGCCAGGCGTGGCCTGGTCGCTTCCCCCGGTTCCTCTGCGTGCCTGGGGCAGGGCCGGGGACCGAGTGCCGGCAGCATCTGCTAGCTGGGAAGGGAAGCACGCTTCTGTTTGTTGTTTCCCACGCTGGGAAAATGAGGCCGAAAGAGGGAAAGTGAGTTCCTTTAGGTCAAGAAAAAGGGCCGGGATTCGGACCTGCCTGTCTGGAAAGGTCTAGTCAGCCTGAGCGCCCTGTGGGAGACCCCGTGGCTTCCTCTTCCCCGGGCTCGATAGGTGTCAGGAATCCCGGAGATCCGTTAGTGGCGCGCCCTCCCCAAGGGCAACATCAGGGTGGGTGAGGGGTGTGCTTGAGGTCACACGGAGAAGTGGGCCAGAATCCAGGTCTGACTCCCATTCAGGCCAGCGCTCCGACGATGACTTGAATGAATCGTGCCAATGGGCCGGGAGGCGAGGCAGCAACTATAGTGGGTACCCCCGCCCGCCTGCCAACGACTGCGTTAAGTCAGTTTACAAAACGTGGTTGGGTTCACTCTTTAATCCCTAAGGTACGCTGTCGTCGTTTTACAGAAAAAGAAACTGAGTCAAATGAGCTTAGAAACTTGCCCAAAGGCATACAGCCAAGAACTAAGTGGTGGACA